CTGTCCCGTCCCCAGCTCTGTGCGGTGATGGGACACAGGGGGGCTCAGCTCTACTACAGCCTTGAGATGGGTCCAGGCCCAGGGGCAGGGAGAGTGAGGGCTGGGTTTGCCTGTGCCACCAAGGAGGCATAGAAGCCCGAAGTGACAGTTAAGCTGAGCCAATTGAGGACCACGGGGGCAGCTTATTCTGAACCTGCCTGTGTGTGGGCCAAGAGGCAAGAAGTATCCTGAGCCTGGTGCTGGTCTTGATGCTGCTGAGCAGGCAGCGAAGGCCCCTTCTGCCTTCCAGGGGCTCTCTGGGCATAGACAAGAATCCAGGGCTCACTGCTGTGACAGCTGCTCCTGCAGGCTGGGCCCTGAGCCTGCGTCACACCCCCACACCATCAGGACCACTCACTCAAGGCTACGCATGGCCGCCTCCAGTGAATGGGAGACTTAGGGTTGTCCAAGGGCAGCAGCTGGGAAATGCAGGACTGAGCTGGAGCCCAGCCTCTGTGCAGTCTGTGCCCTCCTGTCGCCCTCTGGGCGCCAGCCTGGCCCCCTCCCAAGCTCCCCTCCACCCACCAGGCTCATGTGGGGCAGATAGTGTTGTTTCAGATGATCAGTGGCCTCTGCACTGCAGGGACCAAGGCAAAGCTGGGGACGACCAAGGTTGTCCAAGCGACTGCCCTAGTCCGACTACTCAGCTGGGAGTGCAGTGGGGAGTGGGAGGGGTGGCGGGCAGGGAGAGAAAAGCTGGCCCTGCTGCCCGCAGGCAGCTCCAAGGGGCCCCAACCTCATCTCCCCTCAGAGGCCAGTCTGCAGGGCCTGGAGGGAGAAGCCCACACTTGCTGGGGTGGAGCGAGCAGTCACCCTGTGAAGAGGGACGCAGGCAGCTGGGGACACTGAGGAGGGTGGGCATTCTGGAAATCTGGGCAGTATCCCCCTTCTCACTGTTGGCTTGGCTCTGGCACAGGAAGGGTGGGGGGGCACCCACTGGGAAAGGAGCTGCCATCTGGTCTCCACAGCTCAGCAGCTCCACTCTCCTGGGTTCGTTCCTGTGCCCAATTCCACAGCAGCTGCAAGACCGAAGGCTGTGCCATCCTCCTCTATAAGCTGCTCCCTAGCCTGTGTCCTTCGGCCTCCCTAGTTTCTCGTTATTTCTAGCCTGGCTCTCTACTGAGGCAGCCCTTCTCTGCAGATCTTACACAGATGTGTGCATGGCCACACCCAGCTGGTGCTCTTCCCTTGGCATGGATGGGGCTTTCAAAACACACAAGGTCACTTTCTTTACCTGGTACTGGGGATGGAAGCCGGCCGGGCCCTCCACCACCGACATCCCTAGCCCTTTTTAAAATTTTCTGAGACAGCGTCTCCATAATTTGCCCAGGCTGCTCCTCCTGCTTCAGCTTCCCAAGTAGCTGGGGCTCCAGTGTGCACCATGGGCTGGCAATACGGCCATTTTCACACTGGCAGGTTTTCCCAGCGCAGAGGCCTTGGTGCACAGGCTTCCTGGGGGGCAGGCAAGATTTAAACCCTCCACCTCTGCCATGTGTGTCTAGGATTCCTGGAGCCCTCTGGGCTTTGTGCCTCTGCACTGCTTTCAGAAGAGAAGAATGGATCTGTCCCGCCTCCTAGACAGAGCAGAAGGGGCGCCATGGAAACTTCTTTTCCTTGTGGCTGAGGGCAGCTGGGTGGGACTGGCCAGGATGCTCTGGTTGGGGAGGGGACGGCTGGAGGAAGTTGGTGACAAAGAACCACTGTTCTCCTGACTGTAGGGGAGCAGGCTATTGCCTAGGCTACGAGAGCCACTGTGAAGAAATGCGTGTACTTCCAAATGCATGGAAATGTAAGACCCTTGGCAGCCAGGCAGGGCTGGGCTTTTTAGGGCCCTGTCGACTGGTATCTGGTTGGTCTCATGAGCCATTCTGCAGGTTTGGTGGGCCAAGCTCAGGAAGCCAGCAGTTTGAGGAAGGAACCACAGGCACAGCAGGCAGGCAAGGAGCACTATGGACCTTAGCAGTTTGTCCAGTGGAACCCCTGTGCCCTGAGTCCACACCTGGTAAATCTCAACAGAGCTACATTCAAACAGCAGCTTTGTTTTTTTGAGAGAGGGACTTGGTTTGTAATTCATGCTGGCTTTGAACTCTGTATGGCTAAGCCTTGAACTTGCAACAATCCTCTTGCCTCAGCCTCCAGTGTGCTGGGATTACAGATGTGTGCTGTTGTACCTAGGAGCACCTGGCATGGATATTTTTTGGATTTTTGGCAGCTGCCTTTGTCCTACGATGGGACAGACAAAGCTGGCAAAAAGGTACACTCACACTAAATTGCACTTTTTATTGCACTGATTTAATGGCCACAGAGAGTTCTGTTTTGGGCTGATCACTCATTCATCCTTGGAGTCTTGAGTCTAGCTCCAAAAGTGCTCCCCATAGGACAGAGCTGGGGAAGGAAGGACTCCTTTGACTCGGGATCCACAAAAGGAACAAATGAGAGCCACCATCAAGACTTCAAGATTTATTTTCTTTTGGAAAGGGCCGAGGGGGACTTTACAAGAGTCTGAAGCAAATAAGTAGAAAGGAAGATAAATAAAATACAAAGCCAGTATGTTGTGGCAAAACTCCAGAAAACAATGACAAAAATCTTTACCAGTTTAAAACTGCTTCACTTTTTACATAATTACAAATTAATATACAGCGTTTGGGTTTTAACCCATTTTTTAAATCTAATAGGAATTAGCACAGAAACATTCATACAGCATTTGGGAACTGATGAGAGCAACCCCCCATCTTTCTGCTACAGGGCAAGTGACACCAGCACAGACAGGCTCAACTGGGCCTTGGGCAAAGCCAGGGCTGAGTCCTGTGAGTGCACTGGGAGCCCCGTCCCAGTGGATGGTGCCAAGGGCAGGGTTCTGGGCTTCCCACAGGGGCCCAGAGGTACAGCCCCTTGAGGAGGACAGGTGATCCTGGGTCAGTAGGGCTGCCTGTCTTCAAAGCTCAGTGAGATGGAGAAATGACTGATGGCCCATCAGCCTCTTGACAAATTGCAATAGATGATGAGTGTGTGGAAAGGCCCGTTTTTTCTTTTTTTCCCTTGCTTTTCTGGCATATTCAAATACTTTTCATTTCAAAACCTGGCCAGCAGGTGGTAGATTCCAAAGCTCTGATTAACTAGGAATGTTATGCTTCAGTGGAAGAACAGCTATGAACCCAAGCCCAACAACCTGCCCTCCTGGTCTGAGGAAGTGTGAGTACAGTAGGGATGGTGGGACTGCTCAGGGCACAGGTGCGTCCCCAGCAGGTCCCACTGAGGAAGGAGGCACGTGCGCCACCGCTCCACCCAGATGGTCACGTTTAGGCACAGGGTGTGGACGCCTCCCATGGTGCTTGGGGCCACCTCAGACCCACCCACTTTCTGGCCACAGAAGCCCACTCCCTAGTACTGTCTACACCTTTCTCTGCTGGGTACAACTGGCCACCCATCCTTAAAGTAAACTTCAGCAAAGAGCAAATACTGAATCCTTGGGAAGAACTAGCAGTAGGAGGGCATTGGGCATTAAAGAGTGAAATACAAAGTACTTCTATAGAGAGCATTTTTTGTCCTAGAAGGTTCTGTTTCCACCCTTAAGGCAAGACCTATTTAAGCCCTTGTACACTAAAGCCATCCCAGTCTCCCCTAAGAAAGGAACAAACGACCCCAAAGGTCTCAAAAATACATGCTTTCTACTATTGAGGCCTCGAGTGGATAACAGGGGAAGATGCTCAAAAGGACAGCTTTTAGTGGTATAACCCTGAGACCTGGGCAAGGAGAGAAGGCAAGGTTTGTACCTTATCAAGACTTTCTTGAAAAGGATTTTCTTCCCCACAAGACAGCTCTCCTGGGGGCAGAAGGAATATTGGCAAAGGCCAAACATGGCAATTTGTGTGTTTCAACCTTCTCCATTCTCTAAGAAGAAAACAAAGTTAACATGTTTGATTGTCTCAAAAAATAGAGCCAACTAGGGCCGGGATTTAGCTCAGTGGTTCCATGGCCCACTACCCAAGCTCAAGGACCCAAATTCAGTCCCTGGTGCCCCCCCCCCGCCAAAAAC